GGAAAACAAGAAAACGTAAAGCAAACTGTTATAACTGGAAACAGTCAAAAAGAAAGCGATTTAGACAATCAGGAAAGGAATATATAAATGTTAGAGGCAAAGTTATTCAACCAAAAAGTATTAAAAATAAAAAAGATTGTAAAAATTGTTGCAAGTTTAAGTGTTTTGAGAAGATTTCAGAAGACGAGAGAAAAATATTATTTAATGGACTGTGGGGAATGTCTCAGATTGAAAAGCAACACTTTTTTAGTAAAACTACTAAACGATTAGATAAAAAAAGATCTCGAACCAATAGTAAGCAATTCAAGGAGAAAATATACTTATTTTTACAATTTCTTTGTTGATAATATCAAGCATCATGTATGTAAGGAGTTTTATTTGTCTACATTAGACATCAGCAGGCAAATATCATACTATCATGAAAATAAACTTGAAACTGGTGTTCCTGCCCCAACAAAATGGGGGAAACATTGTAAAAAAAAGTTCTTGAAATGACTAAACAGAGTATAGAAAACCATATCAACTTGTTTCAACGAGTTGAGTCACATTATTATCGAAGCATTTCCTGCAAACAATACTTTGATGGGTCATTAAATTTGAAGAAACTTTATGATTTGTATTTAACATATTGCACTCAATATGAAGTTTCACCAGTAAAGGCATGTATGTACCGCAATGTTTTTAATACAAAATTTAATATTGAATTTCAAAAGCTGAAAAAGGATCTGTGTGATACATGCTACAAATTTCAAATTATTAAAGATGCAAATGAAAAGCAAATCCAAAAGTATAACAAGCATATTGCATCAAAGAATGAAACAAAAATTGAGAGAGATAAGGATCGAAAGTTGAACTCCCCTTCCACAACCATAGTTTGTATTGATCTACAAAATGTCTTGAGCTTGCCGAAAAGTAATGTGGGAAACATCTTTTATAAAAGAAAGCTCAGCTGTTATAACTTAACAGGTCACTCTTCACTGAACAAAAAAGCATATTGTATATTATGGCATGAAGGTATGTCAGGTCGTTCTGGTAATGACATTGCCAGTGCTGTGATATGTATGCTAAATAAAGTTTACAAGGATCTTCCTAATATTAATAAATTTATACTTTGGTTTGATTCTTGCGTTCCACAGAATAGAAACAGTCATATGTCAGCTGCATTGCGTGAGTTTCTTATTGATCATCCAAATATTGAAATCATTGAGCAAAAGTATTGTGAGCCAGGGCACAGCTCTATTCAGGAATGTGGTAATATACATAGTCAGATTGAGAAATCATTACATTCAGCAGAAATATTTAGTCCTCTTGGGTTGGTGAAAGCAATGTTGAATGTTAACCAACGTAAACCATTTTTTGTATACCAAATGCAAAAAAGCGATATTAAAAATTTTTCAAAAATTGCTAGTCTTCTGAACTACAAAAATGTTCCATACTTTAATGTTAAAACACTTGTATATAGGTTTAATGCTCCTGGTCATGTGTATTTTAAGACTCGTTTTACAGATATTTATAAAGAGGCACGGCTGTCTAAGCCAAAAAACACACGATCATCAGGAAGTAATCTTGAAGAATCATCAATTCCATTGGTATCTTGTTTTCGACAAAATATTGAGATTTCTAGTGAGAAGATAAAAGACATTGTTTCTATGTATCCTTACATGCCAGCTGTAGATGTTTGTTTCTATAAAACATTATTTCAGTAGTTGTTTTTTTAACTCTTTATCCGGATATACTTTATTTGTGTTATGCACTATTCAGTTTTATCTTGTATAAGGTTCATTTAAACTGTTCTTAACTTGTTATTTGTATTAAAGACATTTATTTTTTATTTTCAATAAATCTTTTTAGATAAAAGTAATTTTATTATAAATAATATAGCTTTGGTTAAAATCAGTTTGTTAAAATTGAAGCTGCCCATCCTACCAGAAGCAATATATCTAGAAAACTTATTAAATGACCATATCCATTTAAATTTGTCAACTAAGTGTTTTAGGGTCTATATTTGCTTTTAAATCCCTAAATTAAAAGTAATTTCTTGTAATCCATCAACTCCTCGCAAAACGTTCAAGTTGTATTTACTAAAAAATGGAGATAGCACAAAATAATATTAACACAAAACTAAAATTTAAAAGTCATTTTGTTCTATCTCCAAACAGGGTGGGGCCATAATAGCGATTTGAGAAAAAAAAATTTTTTCACAACAAATAATTATAATGAGCATATAGTCAAGTATTGAAAAACGTTTGCATTATTAAAAAATGTATTGCCACTTCTGCTGGATTGCAGTGTAAAACTTCAACTTGATTTATCTCAGTTTAAACAAATGGAGAGTTAGAACAAAATAATTCTAACCTGACGATATTAGTAAAAAGCATATTAATATCTTTATGAGACAAAAATAAATTTGTGTCATCTGTAACATTTATTGTTGTTAAATTTGATGATTTATGAAGATCATTTATGTAGGGTAACCTGGGGCAGAGTGAGACATTTAGGCTTTCTAGCATTGCACAAATTTTTTTTGAAATGCTAGATTAATTTTGGTTTATTATATTAAAAGTTTCATGTTTTTTTAATATTTTAAGGTAGTTTTATCAGTTTTTTTCCAATAATATGACATAGAAAAAGGGTTTAAAGCTTTTGAGTTGCGTCAATTTGATTAAAAAATCAAAATTTTTTTTTTTTTTTTTTGTGGAAAAAATCCACGTACACTGCCATTTTTTACCACAGAACAAACATATTATTAAGTTTGTAATCATTTATTTGTTATCTTTCAGCTCCCATTCTTCTTTTTATGTCAGACTATTTTGTTTCAAAGATATGTAAGAAATATATTACTTCACATTTACAGGGAAAGTGCGACAACGCTAGTTACTAAAAAAAATCGTCAAAGTAAACGTTAAGGAAAGCAAGTTTATAAACTTAATCAATCGTCAAAGTAAACGTTTACGATAGCAAGTTTATAAACTTGGCAAGTTTAACCATAGTCATAATTAATATACGTAGTCCGGCTAGTTTAAGATGAGTGAAAACTCACCTTAAAAACGGATGAGTGAAACTCATCCGGTTTTTCACGGGAACGGGAAAGGGAAGGGAAAAATAATCACGTGAGCATGCGTATTATAAGTTTTAATTTGTCTGAAGTAAAACTGCACATGCTCACGTGATTATTTTTCCCTTTTCTATCCCGTTCCCATAGAAAAATGGATGAGTGGTAAGCTTTTTTTTAGAACCCAGTCTACCAACTTTTTGTAAACAATTGCGCATTAAAAAGAATATTTACAAGAAGATTATTGATTTATCCTTGATTTTTGCAAATGCCTCGTGTTAATTGTTACATATTTGGTTCTGGAACTTCTCGAAGAAGTATAAATCTTTTTCTATTGGAAACATTTTCTTCCAATTTGATGTTTATAACAAAGAATCAAGAAGAAAAGTTTTACAAATTATAAATAAAAATATATCTTTAGTATAATATATTATAACTAATAATCAAATATAATATCAGATGACTTTTTGTTGGACCGACAGGCTTACTTCCTTCAATAAATCAACCAGTTAAGAGCTTTTCATTGGCAAATCCTTCTTTAGGCAGAATATAGTAGTTTCTCATATTACTAAAGCTCAACTCAAAGTCTTTGATTTGAGCTTTAGTAATGTATTTAAAGTTAATATATAATAGTTAAAGTTAATAAAGAAAATATATTTAAAGTTGTATGCCTTTGTTGAAACTAGGTTGTGTTTGTATTTCTACTTGACAAGTAGAAATACAAACACAACCTAGTTTCAACGAAGGCATACAACTTAAAATATATTTTCAAATTTAATTCTACAAGAAAACAATACAACACTTGGTTAACTTTATTGATAATATCTATTTGATTATCAAGTAGGTATGATTAATAAAGTTTTTATGGTGTGGTTAACTAGATTATTTTACTTTATTAAATAACTTAATTGTCGAGTAAACTTGATTGGTGTAGAAACTAGATTAAGTTTTTAATTCTACTTGATTATCAACTGCTTTTAATGCAAAAATTTGGATTTGAGAAAAGGGAACAGCATTCTCAGAGTTTTTCTTCTTTAATTTTAAAAATAAAAAAATTATAATATCAGTGGTTTTTATAAAGGAATTACTATAGTTGAAAAGGCTGAAAGGAAAAAATATGATGATTTGTTTCAAAAAAGTGAGTGACTTAGTTCAAAATATCATTTCAAGATTTTTAATCTTTAACGATATTCTGGTGTTATTACCAATTATTTGGCACTATGAAACCTATAATATTATATACCATATTATATACCCTATTTTCTTATAAAATTAATAATCTGTAAAGTAATTTGTAAAAATATTTTAATTGTAAAATTGCTAATTGAGAAAACAAGTTGTTAGATGAAATTCAAATATTCTCTATGCTTGTGTTCTTTAGGTCAAAAAATAATAAATAAAGATGATATTGATTGTGATAACTAAGCGATTCATTTTAAGACACATCAATCTTCATAACTTTTAAATAAAAAGGATAAATATGATGGATTTCCATTATCTCAAGCAAGTAAGTCTTTAGTTAAAAATGATAATGTAATGTTTGTTGTAAAATTTTGTACTTATTCAAATTTTGCACTTATGTCTATTTGTAATGTTTGCAAATTTGTTTGGCGCACTTATGCCAATTCACACTTTTGCCAGTTTGCAAGTTTAAAGCTATAGGTTATCCTGTAGCTTTAAACTTTAGTCCAGACAATTCTTTTAATCCAGACAATATTCATATATATGACTATACTAATAGTTAGTGAACACTAATAATCTGGACTACACTAATGGTTAGTGTGCTATTTTTTAAATAATAATTAATAGATAAACTGTATCGTTAAATTTAATTAAACATTTAGATTTTATGAGATAAAGAAAAACATTTTTAATACAGTAGTTAATTGTAATTTCATAAATTATAAAATATAACATTATTAAGTTATGGTATCTTTAGCTTTATGACAAATTCACTCATGGCCAAATTAAATATGGCAGCTGGAAAAGACAAAAGAATTTTTTTAGTCTAACCAAGCTATACAACTTAATAAAAGGTACGTTTAATAATAAAACTACAGGAGCCAAAATCCTGTAGATCCCTACTTGGTGTTGAGCATGGTCAACAATGTGGACTATTCAGAATACCAAGTGACTGCTGTTTTCTGTTAAACTTCATTATTGTTATTTAAAAAGTTTTATAGCAATTTCTATATATAAATTAATAGAAATTCTAAAGAAATTCTATAGGCCATATGTTTTTAAAGTTTATAGTAATTCTATTGAACTTTTTTTCCGGGATTTTGTCACTCCGCCACTGTAGTGGATCATTGTGTCTATTTATTTCTGGTTCTTTCGGATATTTCCTTAGCTGAGTTTCAATGCCTTTTAGTAATTGTTGTTTATGTGCCCTGCCACCAGCGGACGTAGACTGAATAATTTTATCAATAAATTGCCAGAGTAATGATGATGATGATGATGTAGAAAAATTATTAAGCCCGGCTTATTTTGGTGGATTTTCTTCAGTTTTGTCAATCTTCTGTTCAGCATGCTCAGATTGACTTCAATCTTGTTTTTTCAGCTGTCAGTGTTGCCTGTAAGAGGAGAATTTATTTTTAAATTGTGAGTCAACCAGCCTCGTCAGTATATAAAGAGGTTTCTCTTTTCAATGCTTTTAAAACGCTCATCCAATCATTTGATTAGGGTTGACATCATAGTCTTTATACCTGCATCATTGTAGAATATCGTGTGTCTTCCCTTCAGAATTTTTGTTGCGTTGTTGTTTGAAATTAGACTAAGCTTATTAAATTAAAAAGAAAAATAAATACAAATACCAAAACGAGTATGAAGTTTATAAAATATAGAATTACAAAAAAAATTGATTTTTATAAATAAAATATTAGGTATACATGTAAACACGGGCAAAAAAAATGTAATAAATATTTGACAAAATTCAAAACTCCGGCTAAAATTATGCCGGATTTGCTAAATTTTTGCCGGAGCCGAATTTAGGCCGGATTTGTAAAAATGGCCGGATTTCGGCCGGAGCTGGAGCTGGAGCCGGAGCCTAAATCCGGTACAGCCCTAATATATATATATATATGTATATATATATATATATATATATATATATATATATATATATATATATATATATATATATATATATATATATATATATATATATATATATATATATATATATATATATATATATATATATATATATATATATATATTAGGGTGGCCTTTAAAACAACTTTTTTGATAAAAACCTGCTCCCACGCCCTAAATGTGTTCTGTTTAATACAAAAACACTTGGTTTAAAATTTTTTTGAATAAAAAATATTTTTAAGGGGTCCCTCAAGACCCTTGAATATTTAATAGGTCCCTAATATTTTCAAAAAAAAAGTTTTTAAAAAAAATGTCAACCTGGTACTCAAATGAAGCGAAATTATATAAAAATTTTAAAAAATATATTTTGTTTTTAAAAAAAATTTAAACTTATTTATCAAAATTATCATAAAGTAACATAAAAAATGCATTTTTTTTTTAATTTAATTTTTTTTTTTTTTTGGTATTATTTATTACAGTAATCAATACAACTTCTTGATTGAATTGATGAAGGAAAGCACATCAGGCTTTCCTATGCTGACAATGGACATTGCTGCAGCCAAAGCAGCATTTTAAATGTGTTTTTAAAAAAAGTGTACAGTGGGTGCATCAACTACATTCTGAGCTAATTTGTTCCATCGGTTAGTAACTCGGTTTGTAAAGAAGTGCTGACGTTCTGAATTTCTTATGATCAGTTGCGGTTTTAAACATCGGCTGTTTCTTTTCAGATTATATTGTGAATTTCACAAAAAAGGCTGGGCTTGTGGTATAAAAAATTTAACTTCTTGTAACTGATGAGCAATTTTGTATTGCAGTATAAGGTCACTGTGAATTCTGCGTTCTTCCAGCGTGGTTAGATCTAGTAGTTGTAGTCATTTTTTGTAATTAAAATGTTTAATCGACGATATAACTTTCGTTGCACCTTTTTGCACACGTTCGAGAAGGACGATTTCTGATTTAAGATATGGAGACCAGGCTTGTACACAATACTCTATATGCGGTTAAACGTATAGCTGGTACAATTTCTTCTAAAGCTGGAGGCTACGGCATTGAAATGTCTTTTTTAGGCGACCAAGCATTCAATTTCCGGCCGAAGCTGCTGCTTCTACTTGTGCTTTTACTTTGAGGTTGTCGGATATTAGTACCCCAAGGTCGCACTCAATGCACATTGGAGATAAGTTATGTCGGTTACCGTTGATGTCTGCCATGGTATAGGTATGTGTTGATTTATTTTTGCGGCAACCAATGTCCATTACTTTGCACTTCTCGATGTTGAAGTGCATAAGCCATTTATGTGACCAACTTACAGCGTTGTCAATGTCCGTTTGCAGTATTTCATAATCAGAGGATGATTGATTATTATTTATAATTCCTATGATCTTGCTATCATCGACGTATAACTTGGTATAATTGCTAATGCCATCTGGATAGTCATTGACAAAAAGCACAAACAGCAGTGGTCCATATTTTTTTCATTTTTTGTCAAAAAACATAATTTTTTAAGTAATAAAACCAAAAAGATCAATTTTTTTTTAAATGAATATTATTTTTGAAATTTTTATATAATTTTGCTTCATTTGAGTACCAGGTTGACATATTTTTGAAAAACTTTTTTTTTTAAATATTAGGGACCCGTTAATCATTCTAGGGTCTTGAGGGACCCCTTAAAATATTTTTTATTCAAAAAAAATTTTAAGCCTAGTGTTTTTGTATTAGAACACATTTAGGGGGTAGGAGCAGGTTTTTATCAAAAAGTTGTTTTAAGAGCCACCCTAATATATATATATATATATATATATATATATATATATATATATATATATATATATATATATATATATATATATATATATATATATATATATATATATATATATATATATATATATATATATATATATATATATACATATATATATATATATATATATATTTATTTATTGAGATAATAAACCACTAAGTTTTTGCATAATAGTTAAAATGATAAGTTTTTGTGTAATAATTGAAATTATAAATTTTAATAACTCTTTAATAATTGGTTTATTAAATTGGTGTGGTATATCAAATGAGAGAAAATTTAAAATACTAAATAGTGGTGTAAATAACTCTATACTGCCAAAAATGGGCTTGGTGCATTTGCCTTGTATACCGATCTCGTAAAACTACAGCAAAGCAGGATCGGCTTTTGGTTCGGGCGAGTTAGTCCAATTGTTTTGCCAAGGCTTCAGATCTTGCAAGCTGCATGAGGAAAAACCATGAAGTTCATCTGGCAGCAAGGACAGTTAGAAAACGCCTACAGCATACTGGTTTGAATGGGAGAATTGCTGCAAAGAAGCCTTTATAACATTGCGAAAAAAGCAACCTTATAACATTGCGAAAAGAAGAGCATTCGCGAAGTGTGCAAAACCTGGACTGTCGTACAATGAAATAAAGTGTTATGGAGTAATGGAAGTACCTTTACTGTTTTTTGTGGAGCTAAAAGAGCTTATGTGAGGAGAAGAGTTGGTAAATGATTTAGTCTTTCGTGTGTAGCTCACACAGTAAAACATGAAGGAGGCTCTCTTATGGTATGGGGTTGCATGTCAGGATCAGGTATAGGTCATTTATATCATTGTACAAGCACGGTAAACCAGCATAAATATTTGGAAATATTTATGGAGGGCATGCAAAATACTAGTCTTATAGTCAGAATTTCTTATGTTTTATTAGTGGCGCTTATTACTGACAATGCAGAGTCATTTTTATTTCAATGTGGTGCTGTTTTATTTTATATTGTGCCAAAAATGAATAAAATTCTCTTGTTTTTCAACTGTGGTCATGACTTTATGCCGCTACTTTATATATGTGTATATATATATTTTTTTATGTACTAATTTAGGAAAGTGTTTACTTTTATGGATTGAACAATGTCTTCCACTCGCAACTATAATTACAAAAATTAGCAGGCCCTATTATTATTAAAAAAAAAAGTTTTTCAAAATTATGTGATCTAGGTACTCAAATAAAGCGAAATTTTATAAAAATTTCAAAAATAATAATTTTTTCATATAAAAATTATTATTTTAGGTTTTATTGCATAATAGCTATAGTTTTTTAACTAAAAGTGAAAAAGGTGCAATTTTACATGTTTTTTACTAACAATTTTTTTCGGCAATATGATTTTTATAAAACAATTATTATTTTCGAATTTTTTATAAAATTACGCTTCTTTTGAGTACCAGGTTGACCTACTTTTGAAAAACTTTTTTTCTCCAAAATATTAGGGTACCGGTAGTTTTCCCAATAAAGTTGCGCCCTTTCAATCTATATCAATCATTCTCATATTTGATAGTATCAAAATTAATAACTATTAGCAATGTTTAGAGCCTGTAACAAGAAAAAAAAAATTTTATGACCCACCCTAATATATATATGTGCGTGTGTGTGTTTATATATATATATATATATATATATATATATATATATATATATATATATATATATATATATATATATATATATATATATATATATATATATATATATATATATATATATATATATATATATATATAACATTTCTATTTTAAAAACTTATTACTATTATTATTATTATTATACTAAAGTCCTATTATTACTGTTCAGATTTATCATATTAATGTCTGTTTTAAATATATAGTTTATTCTTTTAGTTTGTGCATCGACTGCTCACGAATCATACACAGAGTCGATTGTCGATGCAATAAATACTGATTCGTTTAAGCGGGCAACTTTTGCTCGTGTTAAAGTGCCTTAAATCCAACAGATATCATCGTTACGATATTACTTTGTTTGTAAATTGTTTTAGGAAATAAATTTAAAAATAACTTTTAAATAAATTATTTATTTTGCTTGTTTTTTTAACCAACATAACCTTTCAAACAATTTGATAATAGTACCTATGGATTTGGCAATATTTTCTGAAAAAGAACGTCTTTTATATGTTCAAAAGACGTTTTTTATGGTTTAATTTGGGTTATTTAAGGACGTTTTTTAAACGTTTTTTTTAGAACGTTTTTTAAACAACTTTTTTAAAACGCTTTTTCAAAAACGTTTTTTAAGGTATTACCATTCTGAACGTTTAAAAAACGTTTTTTTTTTTTTAGTTAAAAAAACATTTTAAAAACGTTAATGTGCTTACTGGGATGCACACTGGTTTAAATTGCTTTTTTTGGATTCTAGCAGATCAAAAAAGATTATTTAGCTCATTAAATTATAATATTTGATAATTATTTTTATACTAATTTGTTTTTTATATCTGGACTTAACAATTAAAAAAAACAACACTTTTTAATATTTTTTCGATATTTTTGTTGACCCCATGATGGTACTCCATTCAACCTATGTCTGGCTGCGTCCTTATTCTAGCCGATTTTCAAAAAATCTTTAATGCAGGGTTGTATTGATTGCTTTAAAGTAAAAATACAATATTTAGACTTTAAAACTTATAAATATGTAGTTTCAAGTACTTATTGATTTCTTAACTGCTTTGAGAACATTTTTTTTTTTTTTAACATCTTTACTTCCAACAAGGCTGCAAGCAACCTTGTTGGAAGTAAAGATGTTAAAAAAAAAAATGTATGTATATATATATATATATATATATATATATATATATATATATATATATATTTTTTTTTTTTTTTAACATCTTTACTTCCAACAAGGCTGCAAGCAACCACTATAAGAGTTGGAAGTTACTGGAAGAGAAAAGACTAAATCTGTAGAGCAAGATAACGATTGACTGATGACTTAAAAGATTGCAAATTATATGAAACAGGAAAGCAAGATGAAGGAAGCGAATTCCAAAGAACTGATGTTCGAGGAAAAAAACTAGAAGAATAAGAGTTTTTGAAGCACTTAGGAACAGTCACAGAAAAAGGATGAGACTTAATTGAATGGCGAGTAACACGAGAATGAATTTTAGTAGATGGCACAAGGGACGCTAGCTCTTTAGAGCAGTGCCCATTATAGTATTTGTAGAAAAGAGAAAGAGAAGCAACATTACGACGATGTGACAAAGGTTGGAGATTGGCTGCCAAAGCAGGTCCAACTATGTTTACAATTCGTTTTTGCACCTTGTCTAAAAGAGAAAGAGCATCATTAGAAGATCCGCCCCAGATGTGGCAACAGTATTCCATACAGGGACGGATTTGAGATTTATAGAGATAGAGAATAGAATCTGGAGTAAGAAAGTGTCGAGCTCAATAAAGAGATGCAACCTTAGCAGATGCTAATTTTGCAATGGATTTGATATACGGTTTAAAAGAAAGATCAGAAGTAAGAGTTAATCCTAGAAGATGAATGGTAGATGACTCATCTAGTACATTACCATTCATAAATATAGGAAGATCTAAATTATTACGATAACGATTGGCCGAATAAAATTGAGTTTTATCTGAATTAAAGTTCACCAGCCACTGTGAGCCCCATGCTGTAGCAGAAGTGAGATCCTTTTCAAGCTCAGATACCCCCTCCAAGCAATCAGAGAGTGTAGGCTTCTTATCATGACAAGAGTAAATGGTAGTGTCGTCAGCGAATAATGCCACCTTAGATGTGAGAATATCTGGAAGATCGTTAATGTAAATTAAAAAGAGTATAGGGCCAAGGATTGAACCTTGAGGAACCCCTGAAGTTACAGGATGTGAAGATGAGTGTTGTCCATTGAGGACAACTTTTATACTACGATTGGAAAGAAAGGACTCAATAATCTTAAAGACGTTACCAGCTACACCATAAGAAGAAAGCTTATGGAGAAGACCAGCATGCCAAACTTTATCAAAAGCTTTAGAAATGTCAAGTGCGATAGCCTTAACCTCTCCACCTCTATCTAATGCACGGTAAAACCTATCGGTTATTACTGTTAGCACATCAGCTGTAGAACGAGAAGACCGAAATCCATATTGATGATCAGAAAGTAAGTTATTTGATTCAAGATGAGAGATTAAGTGTTTGTTGATTAAAGATTCAAAAACCTTGCTTATGACAGGAAGAAGACTAATGGGACGGTAGTTAGATGAATCAGATCGCTCTCCGGAATTTTTGAAAATAGAGATAACAGATGCTGCTTTCTAGCATGATGGAAAACAAGACTCTGATAAGCACTTGTTAAATAGTTTAGAAAGTATGGATGAAAGCTCCGGAGAACACCTCTGCAAGACTACAACAGGAATGTTGTCAGGACCACAAGCTGTTGAAGAGTCTAAGCAGGAAATTACTTTAGATACAGAAGCTGAAGTGATGCGAATGTCAAGCAAGGGATCAACCTGTTTGACGGCTATGTCAGGTAAAACGCAACTAGTGGAATCAAGAGATGATATTGATGAAAAGTTCTTAGCAAACAATTCAGCTTTGTCTTTAGATGAGGTGACAAAGTCTAAACCATACAAGAGAGAAGGAATAACAGATTTGCCCTTATTATTGATACTGTTAAAGATTCTCCAGAAGTCTCGAGAGCCTAATTTTTGTGATGAGATACGAGATTTAATGACCTGGGAATAGCGAGCTTTGGCGTCAGACAAAACCTTTTTACAATGGTTTCTGGCGATAGTGAACAGATGTCTGTTTTCTGGAGAATTGTTTTGCTGATAGATATGGAAGTAACGGTTTCGATTAGAAATTGCTGCAGCGCAATGTGAGGAAAACCAAGGAGAAGAGTGAGGCTTGACCTGGAATCGTCGAGAGGGAATAAAAGATCCCATGCCAGCCTGAATCCACGAAGTTATGTAAGGAGCACATTTGTCAGCAGGAAGACGAAAGATTTCTACCCAAGGGCCATCACGAAGAAAATCACGGAAAGAGTCCCAGTCAGCTTTAAGGTAGTTGTAAGTATATATATATATATATATATATATATATATATATATATATATATATATATATATATATATATATATATATATATATATATATATATATATATATATATATATATATATATATATATATATATATATATATATATATATATATATATATATATATATATATATATACTAGGTTGGTTGAAAAGTTCGCGGAGCGGCACCTATGTTGCAGTAGTAGAAACAAATTTATAACTGTATTAAACGTATTCATTCTTCGTATGAACGCATAAAAAATTTCAAGTCGATATGTCATTTCAGTCTTTGTTTACAAGCTATTGAAATTAGACGTGTCATAGTATTTTTTAAAATGGAAAATATTGAACATCGTGCTGTAATAAAATTCTTTGTGAAAAAAGGTTTAAAGCCCATGGAAATTCATAATGAAATGGTAAATGTGTTGGATGATGATGCTCCTTCAAAAACAACAGTATGCATATGGGATGCGGAGTTTCAACGTGGGCGTTCAAGCCTTGAAGATGACCCTCGCTCTGGACGTCCAAAAAGTGCTACTACTGAAGAAACGATTAATGCTGTGCATGACATGGTTATGGATGATAGACGATTGACCAAACGTGAAATTGCTGAGGCTGTGGGCATCTCAGATGAACGGGTATTACACATCTTGCACGATGAATTACGTCTGAGAAAGCTGTTGGCAAGATGGGTGCCGCATTCGCTAACTCTGGATCAGAAACGCACTCGAGTAAAACTTTCTCAAGAACATTTGGCCCGTTTTCAAAAGAATAAAACAGATTTTGTGCGTCGATTCGTAACCATGGATGAGACTTGGGTCTCATCCATGGTTACGAACTATGATCTATGAACACTATGATCCGAAGCTGCGACAACAAACTGCAGAGTGGACAGAACCCGGTTGTTCAGCTCCGAAGCAAGTGAAGGCGTCAAAATCGTCAAAGAAGGTTATGGCATCAGTTTTTTGGGATGCGAAAGGAATTTTATTAATAGATTACCTTCAAACCGGTAAAACGATAACAGGTGAATATTATAAAAATCTTTTGGACCAGTTGGATAAAAAAATTCGTGAGAAAAGACCTGGTTTGCTGCATAAAAAAATCATTTATCACCAGGACAACGCACCTGCTCATATCAGCGATGTTGCAAAGGCGAAATTGGTTGAATTAAAGTACGAACGCTTGGAACATCCACCCTATTCACCAGATCTGGCTCCGTCCGACTTCCACCTCTTTCCACATCTCAAAAAATTTCTACGTGGAAAGCGTTTCTCATCACATGAAGAAGTCATTGCAGCCGTAAATGGGTATTTTGAAGGCCTTCCGGAATCGCACTTCAGAGATGGGATACATGAATTGGAGAATCGTTGGAAAAAGTGTATTGCTCTTAAGGGACAATATACTGAAGAATAAAGTCATTTTTTGAATCATAAAATTGTTTTTTCATTTCCGCTCCGCGAACTTTTCAACCAACCTAGTATATATATAATAACGAACCCATGCCAAAAATTTCTATACTTCAAGCAATGAAAGATCTTGTTTCTTCGTGGAATTTCGTGTTTCTTCGTGGAATTTCTTGTTTCTTCGTGGAATGCAGTGTTGAAGGAGACTGTCATCAACTGCTTTAAAAAAGCTGGTATCAGCAAAACAAACAAGAGTATTGAAGAAGCTGATGATGATCATCCTTTTAAATTTTTGACAGAAGAACTTGACCGTTTGCGAGAGTTAGATCCTCGTGACGTCCAAGAAGATCTCTCAGCGGAATCTTACATTGGTTTAGATTGCGATGTAGTAACCACCGGTTCACTTGCTACTGATGCTGAAATCATTGCTCAGATTTTAGATCCTAATTTTGAAAACGACGATAATGAAGTTGAAGATAGCGTTGACAAAGCTATATATATATATATATATATATATATATCTAAAAAAAAAAAGAGTATGTTATATTGTAGAGGACTAAATTTGCAACATATTAGGTGAAATTATAAAATTGTTAAAACATTGTTAGACATAAATTATTTTTTTTTAATGTTGATTTAGGTGTCCCTACGATCATATCACAGAGCACCGCGGAAGAGCATTTAATAGGAAGTTCACGTCCCTTCCTAACCGATGTCGCAAAACTTGCCCAGAGGTGGGGTTTGAACTGCGGATCCTACGTTTCTGAGGCAAGTGCGCTACCACTGCGCCACAGCTGCATGAATTGAGGCTACAAAGTTTGTCCAGATTTTTAATGGTAACATTCTGCATATCTGTAATCTGTCTATAAAACATGAGATAATCCCTGACCTGCTAAAACTAGCAAACGTTGTCCCTATATTTAAAATATTATGTTGCTTACACAAAGTAGTGAGCACAAAGAACTTTGTGCAGGGAGGATCAAGCGTGGTTCTATGAATTTTTATGAGATGAATTCGTGGTTCAATTCTCACAACCCATTTAATGTATGAGACCAACTAGAGTCTCTAGAATCAGGGCTTGTAAATCAATTTAAGGTGACTTGTGAATCAGGTGACTTGTGATTTTTCTGAGAGTATTGGTGCATCAATACATGCACAAATGAATTACATATAATACACACAAATCTCTCTTAAGAAAATTAATCAATTCAAATCTCTTTAAAGAAACTATTCAAATATTAAAGTCAAAATGAAAATATATAATTTGATTCTTTGATGTTATTTTTGCATTTATCAGTAATTGTTGAGAAAAAAAAAAAATTTGCAGTATCAACATCATGCCACTTCTTGTAACAGTATCTAAATATTTGATTAAAATATTTTTAGAATTACCGATCTGTTCGAAGTTAAAGCCATCCAAAAATGTTCAAGAATTACTTCTAACACGTATTGTATGCATGCAAGCAATACACATTTACAGTATCATGGCAAGAGTCATTTTTATCATCAACTACTTCTTCATCAACTTTCATATTTATCTACTTAGATAAAAAGTTGCAATTTAAAATTTTAATTTAGTTTCATTCAATACTGAAATCTAAGATATTTATTAATAACTAATTTAGGCTAAGAATGGATGGGATATTCATGTATGTATGTATGTATATATATAATGTTGAAATAAAAAATTTGTGTTGCGTACCAAACATGACAAGTTTTTGAAAAACTTTTTACAATATTAGGGACCGATTAAATGTTCGAGAGTATGTAGAAACCCCTAAAAAAAATTTTTATTGAAAAATATTTTAAATCTAGTATTGTAATGTTATGTAGAACACATTCAAGGGGTGCAGCAGACAATTTCAAAAAAAGTAGTTTTTACAATCACCCTAATATATATATATATATATATATATATATATATATATATATATATATATTTATATATATATTAGGGGGCTCGTTTTCCAAAATCATATAGTCTCACTTTATAATAACATTAAGAAATTATTTTAAGTAATTTGAATACATGATTTTTATTAATCCCAGTGTCAAACAAGTGTTCGTCCAAATCACTAAATTAATAGAACCTAAGCATTCCAAAATCGAAATAGATATAATTTCTGATTGCTGAAATGTTCATCGTTAGCGACTATGGCTGATTAAAGTTTGGAAATATATCTGTAAGGGCAAAAGAAGTAGAGTGACTATGGAAAGTGGAATTTTCACTACATATAGAAAGTAATTACTCTATAATAGGCTTAATTTTGGACCCCCAATATCTGCACAATAAATGTAAGTTTTCAAAAAAAAGAAAAAAAGACCAGTAGCTTAATTTCATTGTTTTCAACAAAAATAAAATACGGTTTTAATTCTGCGACGGCTTAAAATTACGAGGATAGTTACCGTTTGATGAACTTTACTGTTTAATACTCCCATGTGTCATGAAGTTTTTACTAAAACTCACCACAGTTAATGACTTGTTCATGTCTTAGTTTCTAAAAAAATAAAAAGTATATGCCGCCTAAGTCATTAAGATCCCAATTATATTTATCACAAATTTTATTTGATAAGATTTACTCAAAAATCATCCACACAAAAATAGCAAATGTCAAAAAATTTATTACATGGATTTTCTAAATTTGCGCCTACAAAAGTTCGATTACAACAAAATTGAGCAAGGAGATAATACTTCACCTTGATTTAAACAATCCATATTTAGATTTTTTGGTTAGCTGGAGTACTTTTTAGGTTTACAATTTATCACAAAACAATTTTATGTAATCGCCTAACTATGGTTAATTCAAACTTGTAAAACTTTAAGGTACTAAGCGGAAACTTGAGAAACACGAGAGTACAAAATATGATTGATATTATATGGGTTAAAATTTAAAACGTATAAAATCTCAGATGTGATATTTTACATACATGCAAGATATTCATTTAATTCAATGAGAATTACACGATTATTCTATAGATTCAGTTTAATCTCAACTCAGTTCACTCAGAACTTTATTTTCGATCAAAAGCAGTTTTTTCACTTTTTGTGGTTTATTAAAAACATTATATTCGAACTGTTCCATTACTGATTGTTCTCGACTAATTCTTCTTGTTTTTCTTCAACTATTTTACCATTTTTTATATTACCAGCAATGTGTTCATCACAGGCACCCAAAACAGTTTCCTTTGAAATATTTTTTTTATTTCCCGCATCTAGAACAGTTTCCTCCAAAATTATGTTTTTATCTCGTACATCTGTAACAATCTCCTCAATAACTATTGGCTTATCTCTGGCATCTATAGCAGTTTTATTCGAAATAAAAAGGTTATCATCAATATCCAAAACGGTTTCGTCCAAAGCTATACGTTTATCTCCAGCATTTAAAACGATTTCGTCCAAATATTTATGTTTATCTCCAGTATCTATATTAGCTTCATCCTCATTTATATGTTTATCTTTTACATCTATAACGGCTTCCTCTAAAACGCTGGATTTTGGTTTTTGCTGAATACAATTAACAGCAAGTGAAACTTCTTTGCACAAAACAATGGTTTTTGGCTCAACAATACTTCCAGGAGGTGTCGCTACCTCGCAAACAGCAAGCGGATCATAAAGATCATCACCATCATTATCTAAATTTCAAAAATTTAAAAATCAATATTCAACGATTTTAACATGCGCTTCAAGTCGAGTTTTTTAAAGTAAAAGAACTTTCATACAAATAATTTATAACTAAAATTATCACTAACCAAATTTGATAAAGTGTACTAGCTTAATAATTTATGTTTTAATTCGCCTATAAAATTATTTACTTTTTTTTTTTTTAAAAAAAAAAAAATATCTTTTAAATTTAATCATTGTTTAGTTAATTAATTTTCCCTCCGGGGTCACAACGACCCCAGTTATGGCTTTTTTTTTGTGAAATTGGTAATTCTTTTACAGAGGAAAATTAAGTTATAAATTTAATTTTTACATAATTCGCTTATTTAGTTTGATTTCTAGAGCAACTTTATGGAGAACTTATACAATTGAGAACAGGTAGAAAATGAGCAAAAATTTCATCTCTTAGTAAATATGTTTTATCTCTAAGTAAATATGTTTTTTCTCCTAATATATGTTTTATCTATTATATTATCTATTATATATATATTTATTATCCCTTGCTAAACTGTTGGTAGTGTAACCAAGCAGCAGCGAATTAAAATTTTATAAAATATACAAAAATTGGTTCATATGCTCATGTATCAACTTTATATATACCCTTGCAGAGTTCAATCAGAAAAATTAACAGAAAAAATAGAGTAATTTGAAACATATTTAGGTTTAAAAAGAATTTATTTAAACTTTGAGTTGACAACTTTTGTTACCACACAAACCACTTAAAGTAAATAAAGAAACAAGACTGATCAAAAGTTTTAAAAGAAGTTGTTACAATAACTTTCTATATCCCTCCTGTTAAGATTAATTTGTAATCCTTTATATCCCTTAATAAACATAAAAAATAAATAAATTCTGATATCCTACAGCCCTGGTACTGGTCATTTTAGCATTCATGGAGTTGTTTAATGCTAGAAAAAAACCCAGTAAAAATAAAATAAGATTTTACTAAAAGTAAAAAAAAAGAAGATATTTTATATATTTAAAAAAAATAAATAAAGTTTCAAAGCATATAAAAAATAAAAAGATTATATTTTACTTAATAATTTTATACAATATATTTATATATATTTGCCTTCTTTATTTATGATATAATAATTACTTATCTATTTACTACCTACAAAATTATTTCCGCAAATTTATTAGTTCTTAAAAAATAAAATAAAATAAAAAAAAAGAACCTTTATTTTCTTGCTCATTAAAAAATTCCTTGCTATTAATAACCTCTTGATCAGTTGAGAATTCACTGTAGTTTTTGTCAGTTTTGCTTGGCTATAAAAAATTTAAACTTTAAAAACTTTATAATAACAAAGCATAATGTACACAGTAAATGCAAATATGGTACTACATAATTTATACAAACAAAATATACATTTTATTATACATATTATACATTTTAAATATACATTTATTATGCATACAAACGTGATGTAACGTTAGGTTTATGTCACCCAAAAGACAACTGGTAATTGAACTACTATTTTAGACATTATTTTGTTTATATTTTTTAAAATCATTAATTGCGTGCAAAACAAAGAAAAAAAAGGTTAACTACTGTTAAAAAATTCTGATCCTAATCTTGATTTAAAATTACTTTCTTAAATTTTATTCATATTACAACAGCTTCTTTTTTAACACTGCCAGATGCATCATTAATATTCCTTAATATTATTTTCACTATTCCATAGTGAAAATAATAAAATACAATTTCAAAAATATGTGGTTAATTTCAATCTAGCTGACTTTTACTTCCATTTAGCAAATATTAACTTTATATGAATTTTGAAGTTTTTGTTAAAATAATCACAAAAAGATTAGAAAAAAATTTATATAAAACAGTATTATTAATACTCTTTTGTAACCAATAAATATTTGGTTACCCTGTTGAGCAATTGAGTGCAACTTTTTTGTTTATTTCAGTTGTTCTTTGAGAGGACTGGTTGTCCCATAATGGACAACCTTAACACTACATTGTTGACATACTTAAAAAGATTAACCTACCTTCTTTTCAGTTTTTGAATAACGGGAATCAAAAGCTAATGGTGGTAAGTTAGTATTTTTTTTATCTTTAAACTTAAATTCTGTGTCTGGACCATTATCGTGATTTTTGGAAGGTGATTTTCCACTCAATAAACTTTCGCTTGGCCTGCTTAAAGACCTATCTTGAGAATGATTCCTTCTTTCTCTTGAATCATTTCTCTTAACCCAATCATCTCTAAACTCATCTCTTCCATTACGATCACGCCGATTATTTCTATTTTCATCATTTCTGCTTTGACGATCATCTCTACGACCCCTTTCATCTCGTTGTGTGTCACGTTCTTTTCTATCATCTCTTCGGTCATCTCTTCGACCATCCCGATCAATTCTATCATCTCGACGATCCTTCTCCTTCCATTCAAATTTATGGGGATCTCGCTCATTGTAATTGCGATTAACTTCTCTGCCTCGCAGATCACGGTCATCTCTGGACCTATCTGGACTTAAAGGTTTTCTTTCAACTTGATCCACCTTGTAATCTTGATCATTTTTAAACATATTAGGCTCATTAACTAAAGAAGACTGTTCTTTACAATGCATCTGAGTAATACCTTGTTCTTTTCGTGGTTCCCATGATGATACAGGACCATTAAAATTAGGGCGTGGCAAAGAGGCTCTTACAGACATTGGAGGCCCCTGCATAGGCATGGGCATACCAGAATGATTACTACTTTGCTCAGAAATATGCATGTTGAAGTTACGTGAATTTAATGGTTGTTCTTGTGGAAATCGTGGGCTATTGAAACGATTTTCTGGCGTAAACCAATGTCTTTCAAATGGTGGGCGCTCCCCAGGTAATAGCTGAGACCCAAAACGTTCCCCAGCCATTGGCATGTGATGGCGTTGTGGTTCTCCAGGTGGAACAGGGGGTCTTCCATGAAAAGGAGGTCGATTACCAAAGTCACAGTGTTGCATTGAACTATGTGAAGACATTCCTGGCTGAAACTGAGGATGAATCTGTTTAAGCAAATCTCTGGGATCTCGAGGCATGTCATCATGAACATGAAAATTAGGATTATTGTTAATATGCGGACCACCTCCTTGCATTGGAATCATGTGTTGTGGCGGAGGTCGAAAAGGCATCGGCAACATCTGATGTAAAGGAGGATACTGTCCTCTAAACCCTGGTCCTGGAAGGCCCATCCCTGGTAAAGGTAAAGGACCAGGAGGCATGATAAAAGGACGAGGAACTGACATGTCTGAAGGAATAGAAGTTTCTGTTGAGGATTCAAAAAATTCTTCATTATCTAAATAAAGTTAAAAAGGTTAAATAAATTTGATCAATATCTGATTAAGTGAATATACAGATTAAACTTTTACCATTAGGAAGTGTTAATCCTACAGGAAGTGTTACTTCATCAATAATTGAACCTTCTAATAATGAAGAAAGCTCTTGTTCATTAACTAGGTCACATGGAATATATGCACACCCAAAACTTTCATCCCAAAATTTAGAATAAGGCTGCAAACCTTTTGCTTGACCCCATTCCATCTAAAAATAGAGGCATCATTTAGTGAAATCAAACAACTATTAAAAAAAATTAAAACAGTAGACCAACAAAATATGATATTAAATATGCAATTTTTCATAATATATCATATATCATAGTGGACAATTAAACAGTTTCTATGTTGACAACATCCACATGCCACACTACAATTTAAAAATGAGAAGAAAAAGTCATAAAAATATTATGAAAAATTAACAAAAACTGCTTCTATGACAGTCTTGATCAAAAGTTTGAAACATTTTTAAAATTTGCAAAAATTTTTAAAGATTTGTTTCAAAATTCTTTTTTATATTCAAAGTTTTGAATATTAAAATTATATGCATAGGTAATTTATTTCTTAAACCACAAAATTTGTTTAGTCATAATTTGTTATTATTTTAGCAAAAAATTAAATTATCATTTATGGGAAAAACTAATGAATTAATAAAATTTGCATGAAAAATGTTTGACACTGCTATTGCGCTGCACATTTTAATGTAGCACACAGCTGCATCACAAAAACATTGAAGCATTAAATGAGCAATAAATGAGCATTAAATTCCCTCCCTTTATTAACCCTCCTCAAACCTATTGTAATGATAACGTAACCACCACCACAAATACAAAACACAACATACGAACATTTATTATTGTGTCTTCTCTCCCAACTATTACAACCCGCAAACACTATAGTTAGGCAGGCGAAAGTATTGACATAAACCCAAAATGTAATCGTTAAATAAGTTATTATGAACATATTTATTGCTTTCAGAGTATAGTTGTCATTTGGTGAGACTTGCAAAATTTAAAAAGCTTGGTATTTGCAATTAGAAATGCAATTTCCGCAATATAAGTTGTTGAATAGTGTATAAAATGTGTTAAATTATACTTAACTGTTGAATAATGAAAACATTTTATTAAGTAATTTTGCTTTTAAAAAAAGAAAATTATTTATGACATTTTAATTATTTGAAACATGCAATACGTAATTTTTAAGCACTTTAAAATACATGTAAAACCGGGTCAAAACAATTATCAGTTAAAATGCAATAACTTTTTTAATATATTTATTTTTGTATTTTTTCATTAGATAGATGTAAAAAAAAATACTGAAGAATATATAAATCAAACTATCAAAATAATAATCAAACTATCAAAATAATAAAGGTAAAAAAAAAAAGGTTGCGGTTTTAGGCAACATTATGATAAAACCGCACACTCAAGAACATTAAAATCACACATTAATTGTTTTAATTTTCAATTTTGTCTTAACCATTATTTTTAAACACATTTTAAATTAAAAAAACTATATTAATTCTTTACAATTTTGCAACAAAAAAAAAAAATCAGTTTTATACAAGAGTTTAAATACTAAATTTAATAATATTTATTTAACAATAAAAATTATTAAAAAAATATTTATTACAAGAAAAAACTTCAAAATTAAATTTAATGAACTTGAACTAAATTAAAAAATTCCAAATTTTTGTACAAAAACATCAACATTTTAAAACATTCATTTGTCATTCTGTTTTAATTTGCATACAAAGTGTTTAATGCATCAGAGAAAAGGTGTTCACTTGGTGCACTGGTAACAGGCGTACATTAAATCATTGTTGAAATACAATACAATATTGGAAACACATTTTTATTTTGATGCCAAAATTGTAAAACCATTTTGCTCATTTACTGACAATTTTATATAACTAACTTATTTCTTTTTTTAAATCTAAACTTATTATTTTGTCACTATCATTTCTGGAAACATCATCTTGATTGTCAAATCTTTTTTGTCAAAAACTTTTTTGATTTGATTGTCACCTTTTTAACTGGAAATATATCACAACCTTTTTTTGTCAAATGAAATTCTGACAAAAATTCTCTAAAGCATTTTAAAACATTTTTTTTTTCCTCGCATTTTTCAAAGAATTGAAAACTTTTATAATTTGGATCCAAAAGTGGCACATAATAAAAACAAATTATTGTAATATACTGTAGCTTACAGGGCCGACATAAGTAGGTAAAACGTAGAGAGCGCCATTAAAATTTTAGCTGACTAGAAAAAGGAAAAAAAAAACCCTGTTTTTTTAAATTGACCAAGTGACTGTTCTGAAAATCTACATTTACTGACTTACTTATCTAAAAGAGTCGCTGGCCTTGGTAGCTTATTCAATTCTAAAGATATTTGTGTTTTAACATGTTTAGTTTTTGGATAATTTATGAAATATTTTCTTAATGTATATCATTAAACCTTTGGGACCGAAAATTTAAAGAAAATTTTTTTATTTTTGCGGTATTATGCAGTAAAATGATCATGTATTAGCAAACTTATTCAAAAATTATAATAGAAATGATATCATGAACCCAAATTATTTATATTATATATTTATAAATTTCTTTAGTTAACTAAAAACTTAGTTGATTAATTTTAGTTAACTAAAAAGTTCAGGTAATTTTAGTTGGACTAAAAAGTTAGTCAGGTATTTTAAGGTAACTAAAAAGTTAGTCGACTAATTTTAGTTAGACTAAAAAGTTAGTTGGGTATTTTAAGTTAACTAAAAAGTTAGTCGACTAATTTTAGTTAGACTAAAAAGTTAGTTGGGTATTTTAAGTTAACTAAAAAGTTAGTAGGGTAATTTTAGTTAACTAAAAAGTTAGTTGGGTATTTTAAGTTAACTAAAAAGTTAGTAGGGTAATTTTAGTTAACTAAAAAGTTAGTCGACTAATTTCAGTTAACAAAAAAGTTAGTCGACTAATATTAGTTACGGTTTTCTTTAGTTTAGTTACAATTTTTAGTTTTGGTCACAACACTATAAAATAAATGAACAATATAACGTAAACTATTTTTTAAAACAATGTTCCAATCTTTTGATCATTATTTTACACTTCTTGGACAACATTGATAAAACTAGCACTGGAACAAAATAAAACTAGCACTGGAACAACATGAAATATATACTAAAATAACTGGAATAACAAAAATACTGATACTGAAAAAAAGCCAGTAACAAAAACATTAAAATAATGTGAACTTGAAAAAAAATAATAATAATAATAACTAATATATCACAAAACTAGTTTAATTAAAAATAGTTTATATAAATTTAAGAAATTTTAAAATACTTAATTAAAAAAATATAAATCTTTCTTTTGTCAATAAATAAAATATCAAACATTTGTTTGTTTTCTTAAATTTAAGAAATAAAATATTTGACTGTTTTATTTCTTAAATTTTGGTTTTTGCAAGTAACTATTTCTATTATTAGAAATTTTAAATATTGCACTAATAAAAAATGCTTAAAGAGAAAAGTATTTTGCTCACATTTATTCCTTTAGTTTTCATTGTTAATTCATATGTTTTTAGATGTGACAATTTTTTTCAGCCTAGTATAAAAATTTTTAAAACTAATCTGTCTAAAAAAAGAGACCTTACCTTTACATCATATCCACCTATACGCTTGTTTTTTAGGTGACGTAATGCTCTCTCAGCTTCAACTCTACTTTTCATAGTAACAAAGGCACAACCACGGGCTTCAATGTACTAAAAATTAAAAAAAAATTATTTTTTATTCACAATTATCTTTTTAAAATAGTATTAAAAAAAAAAAATAGTTTTTCATAGTATTTAAAATCTAACATTAAAAGTATAAAAATTCATGTATGAAACTCATATATGTATATTTAAAAGTTAGGAATGGAAACATAAACACAATTTTAAAACCAATATAAACTTACATCAATAGATTTTATTTCGCCATACTGTTGAAATGCATCATGAACAACATCTATTGATAAATTCTTTGGCAAACGACCAACCCAGACAGTAATACTTGCAACTAAATTAATCTCAAACTTTAACAAGATTTTTAACAAATTATACACACTTTTTATTACTTAAATTTTTTAAAATCATTGAAGAATGACTATACTCAAACTTTTTAAAAACTTGAAACACCATAAAAAAACACTACCAGTAACTCGATTTTTCTTTGGTGGAGGCATATTATTTCTGTGCTCCAATAATAATCTTGTATTATTTTCTATTCTACTTTCGATTCTACCATGATTTTTAGGTGATTCCTGGTTATGTTGAACTTGCTCAGTAAAAGGTTGCCACCTTGACCCATGCTGCTTACTTTCATCTACATTATATTTAATTGAAAAGTTATAAACAAAAAAAAAACAAAAAAAAAAACAAACAAAACATACAGCAATAAGTAAACACGTGTATAAATTTTGGCAAAAACTTTTAAATAGTATCTTCAATGAAATATATTTTTATTAATGTTTTTGGATGATACACTTTTAATACATGGTTGGATTTAATTTAATTTAAACACATTGGTAATTTTATTTTCATTCTCTTTTAACCCTATAACTAAAAAATCTTAAAAAATGACCTTTGAAAGACCACTGTACAGAGAAACAAATATTTGAAAGAACACTGCACAGAGAAACAAATTGAGCACAGTACTTTAAAGAACACGGTGAGATAAACTCGGTACTTTTTTTAATATGGTAATAAAGTAATGCAAAAAAAAAGGTTTTCTGATATTAAAATGAGGTTCAGCTGATTATCGATGATTATTAATGACGGTTATTGCAAAGATTATGAAAATTTTGTAAGAAGGACTTTTTATTGGATATTTTAAATATTATTATTGTAAGAAACAACAAGTGGTTTATTGTTAAAAATTGTAAAAATTCCTTGTAAGAAACAAACATTGTTAGCAATAATTAGTGTTATTTGTAAGAAATAATGTGGTTTGTTGTTAAAAAATCATAATATTTGTAAGAAATAATATGTAATTTGTTGTTAAAAAGTTATTATATTGGTAACAAATAATATGTGGTTTGTTATTAAAAAGTTATAATATTTGTAAGAACATGTGATTTATTTTAAGAGTTATATTTGCAAAAAAAAAAGTTTGTTAAAAATAATTTGCTCTATTTGTAAGATATGATAAATACTAAAATAATTTACTTAAGTGAATTTCGTCATCGTTGTCTATCTGCATAGCATCATCATCTTCTTCGTAGTTCTTCTTTCGCAACTGGTCCTCATATAGATCAATCAATGGCTTTTTCTTAGGAGGACCTTCATTTACAGAGTAATGTTCTTCTCGAATTTTTGGTTGTGCTGCTGTAATG